TCCATACTTGTGATTTCATCAGGATAGGAAATTTTGGGTTATGTGATATGAATTAATAATTGAATCATAAAACTTAGACATGATTTATTTCATTCATATATAGTCTAATTAGTCCTAATGTTGATGTAAAGTATAGGAAAAAAATGAAAATATTGAATATTTTTTAAACAATGAAACTATTATATGCCATTTTTATAGTGAAACTAGTTTTTCTTTATTGAGATTTTTCACATTTTATGTTCTCATCTCCCCCATATTATCTTCATCTCTATGCTTTCTTTTTGCCCTCTAAATATTTCAGAAAGGAAATATATGTGATTTAATTGATGATTCATTTTATTTCCTTATGTTTGCCCAGCTCTGTACTACGTACTATGTGAAATAATTGTTCTGCTTTTAAAGAAGTGACTGTTTTTTGGTAGGAAGATGAGACATATTTCCATGTATACAACATACTCTATTAATAAGATGATAAGTGAAATATAATCATGTGTATCTATAGGAGTAGATACTATGGGTAGTTAGAATAATAGAATGTTTGCTAAAAATAAGAGAATAAAGATGAGCCCCTGTTCACAGGTCTTCTCAATCACTTTTCAAATAAACCTATGACTAGGCATGGTGGTATACTCCTGGGTATACTTCTGTAATCTCAGTTATCAGACAGGTAGGGCTTGGTGGATCTCTTGAGCTCAGGAGTTCTGAGCTACAGTGGGCTATGTAAATACACATAAAGCTCGGCATCAATATGATGATCCCTCAGGAATTGGGGGGGCATTAAATTGCTCATCCAGGGGCAAACTGGCATAGGCCAAAAACAGTGCTGGTCAACTCTGCCATGCTGATAAGTAGTGGGATTGGCTCATGCAGAGCCTGGGTTTCTCTTAATTCCCAGCCTAATAAAGATAGAAACACTTACTCTTAAAGATCAATAAAGAAACAGGCCTTCAGAATCCCCACCAAGGGAGAAATTATATTTCTGGATACAGGGGTCTGGGTTTTTCTGATGAACCTTTAGTCATACATTCCAGCAGTTCAGAATACATTTGAATAATTCTCTTATTGTTTTTAGTTATATATCCAGCAAACATTGGGATGGTGATAATGGTAGAGAGGGTAGAATTATGTGAATAAATCAGGTCATTGATCATGTTGTGATTCAAGTTTATCTACAAATGTAAAAGCCAAGTTGCCTGAAAAGAATCAATATTTACAGTCATTCCTCCTCTAAATAGGTTAATCTAGTTTTCCCCTAAAAGTCAACAAAGTCAAGTCTTGATTAGCCTGGGTATGGGGCAAGAATCAAGCTTTGGCCTCTCTTGACCAGCAGCTTCCTGGTTGCTTCTGGTCATATTGACATAAGTTCCCTGTCATCTCAGGACATAAAAAAGGCCCACTTGTGAAGTCATTGCCCTTCAGACTTGATGAATGTTCCAAAATGATGGAGGTCACCACACTGTGCCTTGATGACCCTCTACACTTCCATATGTAAGATGAGGGGAGCCATGCTTACTGAGCTAAGTGATACTATATCCTCGTTGAACATCTTTTTTATGTTAGTGCTAGATAAACCTTCCTTTGTCAACTGTTCAATGACCCAAGATTACTTCATTTCATCCCGACATTGAACCTGAACTCACCGAGTGGCAGCCTGAATCGGCTTCTCCTCTAACAACCTGACTTTCCCCTGTTCCTTGAGCTTTACCTTATATGTAATGTTTTCAAAATCCTCCTGGTGGCTCTAGATGATGAAATAGATTGTACCTAGAGTCCAAGAGATCACAGATGTAGAACTAGAGGGGGTCCCAGAGGTTATCTAATCCAAGGATCTCATTTTGTGACTGAAATCTAAGGCTAAGGTAACTTAAGTGAAAAGTTAGAGGTTGGATTTAAACCCTGGTTCTCATTCCTTTTTCTACTGTACAACTAAGAACCACATCACTGAGAATTTCAATTACTTTTCTCAGGAAAAATAAGCCATCCAGGGAACTCAGGTTGAAAGCAAATGAATTTAATTCAGGTCTAATCCCAGTTTGGTGGAAACAGTTACTAGTCACTGATAGAGAAGCTGGTGTCATTTCAGGTGACAGCTGAGAAAGACTTGTAATCCGTGATTGACTTGAGCAGAAGGAAACATCATTCTCACAGCAGGCCTAGGAGCTGGGCAGAGCAGTCTTAGGGTCAGAATCAGTGGTCTGATTTGCTGAATTGACCTTTAGCCAAAGTATCTTCTAATTTCAGGCTGATATGAAATTAGACATACATAAATGATATAATGACTCCATGGTCCTGTGGAAGATTTAGAGTGGCTGGCACTGAAAGAAGTTAGAAATAAGGCCTGTTTTTGAGCAATGTAACCAATAATGATATGACTCTTTTTTTTTTGACAGTGTGAAAAATCTTAAATAATAATAGCAGAAAATTTTAATCATTTACTTGTTCAGTGATCTATGCAAAACAGTTGAGCAATCAATCAATAAACATTCATTAAGACCTACTATATGCCAGGCCCTGTGCTAAGCCTTGGGGATGTAAACAGAGGCAAAAGTCAATCTTTGCCCTCGAGGAGCTTATAATCTACTGGGAGAGGCAACATGCAAACAAATATATACTAAGTAAACTATATTCAGGGTAAATAGTAAATAAAAGAGGGAAGCCACTGGAATGAAGAGGATTTCAAGGCTTCTTATAGAAGGTGGGATTTTAGTTGGGAAGTCTTTAAGTGGAAGAGGGAGAGTATTCCATATCTGGAGAACAGCTAGAGCAAATGCCCAGAGCCAAGAGATGGAGTGTTTTGTTTGTGGAACAGCCAGGAGGCCAGTGTCACTGGATCAAAGAGTACATGACAGAGAGTAAGGTATAAGTAGACTAGAAAGGTAGAAGGGGACTAGTGTACGAAGGGCTTTGAATGTCAGAGTATTTTGTATTTGATCCTGGAGGCAATAGGAAGCCACTGGAATTTATTGAGTAGGGAGTGACATGATCATTTCAGTGGCTGAATGGAGAACATATTGGAATGGGGGGAGAGTTGGGACAAGTAGAACATCCCCAAGTTATTGCAGGAAGCCAGGTGTGAAGTAATGAGGGTCCGCACTAGAGTGGAAGCAGTGTCAGAGAAGAGAAGGGGGGCATATTTGAGAGATATTGCAAAGGTGAAATCGACAGGCTTTGGCAACAGATTGGATATGAGGGGGCAGTGTGTGTGTGTGTGTGTGTGTGTGTGTGTGTGTGAGAGAGAGAGAGAGAGAGAGAGACAGAGAGACAGAAAGACAGAGACAGAGAGAGTCAGAGACAGAGAGAGACAGAAAGAGAGAGACAGTAAGGAGTCTAAGCTAACTCCTAGGTTGTTAATCTGAGGGACTGAGAGAATGTAGTGCCCTTTACAATAATAGGGGGGAGGATTTAGGGGGAAAGATAGTGAATTCTGTTTGGGACAATTTGACTTTAAGATGTCTACAGGACATTCATGCAATTGGAGATGTGAGATTGGAAGTAAGCAGAGAGATTGCACCAGGAAAGGTAGATTTGAGAATCATTATCACAGAAATTGTAATTAAATCTATGGGAGCTGGTGAGATCACCAAGTAAAGTGGTATAGAGGGAGAAGAGAAGATGGACCAGGACAGAACTCTGAAAGACACTTGTGGTTAAAGGGCATGATTGGGAAGAGGATCCAGCAAAATAGACACAGAGGGAGCAGTCAGATAGAAAGGAGGAGAACAAAGAGACGTGGTATCCCAAAAACTTAGAAAGAAAAGAATATCAGGAAGGAGAGAGTTGTTGTTGTTGTTGTTGTTTGTCCTTTGTTCTCAAAGAGGACCATGGCATTGGGAAGGTGATGTCATGAATTGCAAGTGAATTGGATTTAAGTGAGGCAGGGTTGTGCAAAGTCACCAGCCTCATTTTTTTCTCTAGAGTCATCTGGGTCCAGGGGCAAGACATTGATCAGGACCTGAAAGAGCCCCAGATACAGTGGGAGACCTTGGCCTTTTTAAGCTAAGGTCTTTCCCAGGTCTCAGTTTGTCTGAGGCAATGCCCATTCAGTGATTAAGGCTAGGTAAGAGAGAGGCAAAGAATGGCTTCTTTTACCTAGTCATCCCCCCCAAAAAAATCAATTTGGGAGGGGAAGACCCTCGGTGTTTCTGGCCAAAATAGAAACAATTGCTATTTACACTCACTCTGAACCATCAGAGAGAGTTATTAACAATGTGAAAAGGCTTTAGACAGGTCAAGGAGAATGAGGATTGAGTAAAGATCATTGTATTTGACAGCTAAGAGATCATTAGTAACTTTGAAGAGCAGTTTTGGTAAAATGATAAGGTCAGCAATCAGATTGCAAAAGGTTAAGAAGAGAGTAAGAGGAAAGTGGAGGCACTTTTTCAAGTTTAGCTGTAAAGGGCATATAGAATTATAGTTAGCAAGGATGGAAAGATCAAGTGAGGGTTTCTTCCTGTCAGGGAAGACATGAGCATGTTTGGACCCAGTAGACAGAGAAGTGTCAGTGCCATATTCCTCTAGCTAATTATCCTTACCTTTATCTCAAGGACTTCTAACCAACAGATTAGGAGTGAAGAACTTTTGGAAACCCAAGCCTGCCCTCATCCTGCCAGGCAGAGACTTGCCTACCCTGGCAAGTCCAGGAGGCCCACAGTATTGCTATGTTCTTATCTGTGAAGAGAGCACTTCAAATTCTAGAGCTGTTTCAAAATTTCAAAAACAGCAGCACCAACTTTATTTAGAAATTATTAAAACCCAATAAACCTCTCTTCCTTTTGGAACCTGTTGAATATACCTGAATTACATACAACTTGGAATGGTAATTATTCATGATCAGTACCACAAGTGAGCAACATTAAAATGCTGTGGCTACTCTGATGTATCACATGACCGTTACTTTCTTGTTTTTATTGAATAAAATTCAACATTTGTGTTGTGTTCTTTTGGGTGCTTGCCTATCAAATGACAGTTGTTGGTGGTTATGTTTCTTTCTCTCTCTCCAGGTGGTTCACCAATCCAACCACAGTCAATGCCTTTTATAGTGCATCTACCAACCAGATTAGTAAGTATTGACTCCTTGATTTCTGTTATTTATTTGGAAAGCAACACCACTGAAATGCATCTCTCATTATCACACATTTTTGCAGCATGTTTTTCAATGAAATGTACAGATACTGTGGGGAAGATGCTGGGTCCTGTAGCCATATGCTTGTCTCACTCCATCTCTCTCAACTTACATCAAAGGTAGTTTTCTGAGTTTTATGACCTCTTAAACATCAACATGTGCACAAAAATCTCTAAGGAAATGAAATCATTGAAACAAACTTAATTTTAACTTATTTTTTAAAAAAAGTTTATTTTATTTTTAGTTCCAATTTCTCTACTTCCTCCGCTCCCTTTTCCACCCTTTGAGAAGGCAAGAAAAACAATACTCATTCCATATATATAGACACATATAAAATGAAAAACATATTTATATATTTATATATAATATACAATAATTATATATAATGCAAATATATGTTGCATTATATATGTCATGCAAAACATAGTTCTGTATTAACCAAGTTCTGAAAAAAAAGAAAGGGAAAAATGTGCTTTAATATGCACAACCATCAGTTCTTTATCTGGAGGTGGATAGCATTTTTTTCATCATGAGTAGAATTGTGGTGGGTCATTTTATCGATCAGAATTACTAAGTCTTTCACAGTTGATTATCTTTACAATATTGCTGTTACTGTGTAAATTGTTCTCCTGCTTCTGTTCACTTCACTTTAATTTTAACTGTTTATTTACTTCTTTTACATTTAAAATAATCAGTTATTCTAAAGCTATTAAAATCTCAAAATCTAGAAAAATCTATTTTTTTCTCATGTTTCTGTGCTGTGCGAGGCCCTAGAGTATAGTGAAGTTCATGACCTGGGGTTTGTGAACTTGATTTTTAAAGTATTCTGATAAAAACCTATTTCAATATAATTTATTTCTTTTGTAATCTGATATATTTTATTTTATTTATGTAAAAACTTTATGATAACAAAAGGTGCATGAGCTTCATCAGACTGCCAAAGGGGTCTAAGACACACAAAAAAGTTAAGAAGACCTGATATAGTGGAATGAGTGTGCTCTATTTAGCTTCAAAAGACCTTGGATCTTAACTTTGTCACTGTCACCTTGGGCAACTCAAACCTAAATTTCTTAATTCATCTGTCAAATGGGAATGATGATAATACTACTATTTTATAGGATTGTTGTGAGGACCAAATGAAATAATGGAGGTAATAATGATAATGGTAACTAGCATTTGAATACTATTTTAAGATTTGCAAGACATTTTGCAAATTCTCATTTGAGTAAGTGATTAACTGAAAGGTGGAAGCACTTTGTAAACTATAAGGCTCTATGCAAATGTAAGGTAGTACTACTATAAATTTTTGTCTTTGGCATACAGATCCCTAAAGGAATTGATAAGAAAAAAAACAATAACCTGCTAAACCATTAGGACCCATTTGGCTATGAGGAATGAGAAGGAAAAGTCCTGTTGCTAGAATTAAGAAAATATATATTTTAGTTTTATATTTTGTAATGCAATTATGTTAGCCTGGAATAATGGATAGAGGGCCAGCCTTTGATTCAGTAAGACATAAGTTCATGTCCTTTTACTTCTAGGACAGAGGTTCTTAACTAGGGTCCTTGGATAGATTTCAGGGGTTAGTCTATGAACTTGGATGGGAAAAAAAAATTATGTTTTTATTTTCACTTCCTTCTAACTAGAACTTAGAATTTCCTTCAATTATTTAAAAATATTATTCTGAGAACAGGTTTATAAGTACCTCCAGAATGCCAGAGTCCATGACACCAAACAATATTAAAAAATGTTTGCACTAGAATGAAATACAAACTTCTGTTTGGCATTTAAAGCCCATCATGACCTAGATCTAACCTACATTTCTAGCTTTATTACAAATCACTCCCTTCACTTTCCCCTTAGTCCAGCCAAACTGGATTTCTTACTGCTTCCCACAAGCAACACTCCATCTTCCTGTCTGTACTTCTTCACAGATCTTTCTCTTTGCCTAGAAGGTACTTCTCTCTTTCCTCTGTTTCTTAGAATCTCAAGTTTCCTTCAAAGCTGTATTCAAATTCTACTTTTTGTATGAGGTCATTCCTGATCCTCCTATCTGCTAATTCTTCCTCTTTGAGTTGCCTTGTCTTTATTTTGTATGTGTTTTTTTTTGTATGTGTTTTTTTTCCCCAGAATCTTCAACATCTTTCGTTATCTTTGCCAAATTGCTGAAAAAATCAGTAAATTATATATTATATATAATGTATGCATATATAGAAATAGATACCTTGTTTTTATTTTATATGTGTTTTGTGTGAGTATACATACATACACACAAATCTATACTTTTATTATACATATAACATATACACATATAGAAATAAATACCTTTTATATATTTTTGGCATATACATAACATACATTTGTGTGTATACACATATACATATATACATATATATATATATTTTAAAAATATACTCACAGTAACTTGTACATGTACAGGTAAGCTTCTTGAAGTAAGGCCGGTTTCATTTTTATCTTTTTACCCTCAGTGACTAGCAGAGAGTCTGCCACATTGTAGGCCTTTAATAAATGCTTTTTGATGGACTAATTGATTAATTGATATTGGTTGTATGATCATAAACAAGTCATTTTGCTTCCCAGTGTCCCAGGCAACTCTCTAAGGCTATAAACTATAGACAATGACTGCTCTATTACATAGATGGAGAGAGTTTTAATACTGGAAGTTTCCCATATTGTCAAAATCATAGACTTTCCCCCCTGAAAAAAAATTAGTATTCATACAAAGAATTAACTGAATGAATAACAACATTAATAATCAGAAATTTTTTTCCTTATTATTGATGTTGAGTACATGTTGAGCACAATGGTTTTTTAAATTAAATTTGTGCTATGGAGGATGTTAGGTGTCTGCAAAAGCAGGTCTTTCTGAATGTCAGCACTCTTCAGTTCTTGGCCACTTTGTTAACACATATAAAAAGGTACTTTGATTTTATATCCTAAAAGTGACTGAACATCTGACTCCTCATCTTTCCTAAGTAGATTGGACAAGATGACCTCCAAGGTCCCTTCTAGAGCTAAATCAATGATTATACGATATTGGTACTAGGATAGAATAGGCAGCTGCCATTCACCCACGCTATGGAAACAACTGTTTCTGCTTGTCCCGCATGTCTGAGAACCCCTCAGGATCTCATATTTTTGAACAAAGCAAGTTACTTATGATACTAATGGTGATGTTATTGCTATGGTCTCTTAGAGTTTACCTCTGGTGGGACAGGCAGAGGAGTGGGTTTTCTTCCATCCTCTGTGCAAATGACTCTATCTTTGTCCCAGATGTTCAATGGATTTGAATGATGGGGGAAGGGAAGGGAGAACACAGGTGTTATGACTGTTCAATGTAGGCTCCTTAAGCTACTTTGTGTATTATAATTTTAAATGAATAAGAAAGTTTGTTTTACTCACTACTTTTCATTTGAATAAGGAAGCTGCCATGTAACTGCCAAGTTTAAATATAATAATTGCCAAGGGCCAGGGGCACTAATTTAGCTATTTTGATGAATACTGGAAGGGAATAAATATATATATGAACTAAATATATATGTGAAATCATCACACATTAGTAAATCATCATTTTTAAAACACTGCATAAAATTGTTCCTAATCTTTTAAATTTTGCTGAAAGGATACTAAGCTATCAGAAAGATCTTTGAGGGCTATTCTAGGTTGGAAATAAGCATTTCCTGTTTCTTAATATTGTGATCATATATTTTAGCACAGCCAAGTCTATTCTTAAGAAATAAGTCCATTTTATGTATTTGACAAAATAATAGTAGTTTATTTCTGATTACAGAGAAGTTTACATCATTTCATTGGAGCTTCACAACAGGTTGTGAAAGTAGCTAGTGTGATTACTTTTATGATTTTAATTTTTGTTGATGGCTTTTATTTTTACATTATCTCCATTTCCAAATACATCCCTTCCTCCAAGGTTCTACCCAGTGAGTCATCCCTTGTAACAAAGAATAAAAAATGAAAAGAATAATTCAGCAAAACTGACACATTAACCAAATCTGATAATGCATGCAATATTGCAAACTGATAGACCATCTCCGCAATGCAGAGAGGGAGAGATATGTTCACTTGTTGCTTTTCTAGGACTTTTTGGTCATTATCATCACACAGCATTGAGTTTTTGTTGTAATCCTTTCCATTTATATTGTTAATGGTTATTGGGTATATATTGCTCTTCTGGCACACTCTTCAATTCATTCAAATTTTCTGATACTTCTCTGTATTCTTCATATTCATTATTTCTTATGACACAGTAATATTAATATACCATAACTGTTTTTTTTAAGCTATTTCCTAATTGCTAGGCATCTATTTTATTTCCAATTCCTTGCTAACACAAATGAAACTCTGAAGAATGAAAAATTCAGTGAATTTTAGGACCTTCCTTTTTGCCTTTAGCCTCCTTAGGGTATATGTCAAGCAGTAAAATCACTGGTCCAACACTATGGATGTTTTGGCAACATTTTTCTTTTTAAGAGTAATTTCAACTTGTTCTACAGAATGGTTGGAACAATTCACAAATCCACCCAAAGCATATTAGTGTATCTGTCTTTCCCCAGAATCTTCAACATCTTTCGTTATCTTTGCCAAATTGCTAGATGTGAATAATCATGGGGATTGAAACCTCAGGGTTGTTTTGAATTGCATTTCTCTTATTATTAGTTATTTGGTTGTTAAATTCCATTTAGTTGTTAATAGTATATACTTCTTTTGAGAGCTGTTTGTTCATATCCACTGGGGAATGGCTCTTTTTTTATACTATCATGTTAATTTCTTATATGTTGTAGACATTAAAACTTTTATTAGATATATTTGATGTGGAGATTTTCCATCAGTTTACAGTTTCCCTCCTTAATCAGTTGCACTGATTTTGTTCATGCAAAAACCTTTACGATTTCATTTAA